AAGAAACAGATGGGGGGGATGGGGATGGGACCCTAGGGAAGAGAAAGAAAATTCCAACATCTCTTTTCAACCTATGACGCCAGTATACTTGGCGATAACATGCACATGGACAGTGGATGCTGTTAAAGCCTGGAGGCCAGAGGTACCTGCAGTAGCACTTCATAGGGTGAAGATAATTGACTGCAGTCATGGGGGATTCTGTAGCAGGATGTTCTAACCCAATAATACCTAGATCAAAGAATGCAAACAATACAAGCTCTCATACAACTTTTTCTGCTGGCACCAGGGTGCTGTTTTGGTGTTGAATTGTGCTAAAACCAGCCTGGTTCACCAAACCTCGAACACACATCCTGCTTTTTGAAGCAGCATTTGACAGATAATCTTCTCACTGGTCTGTAAATCTGTGGCTACCAGTCCATCACTTTATAAAAACCCAGTCCAACTTTCATATGGCAGAGTCTTCCACAGACTTCCTTGAGCTGTGGAACTTCTCCCATGAAGCAGGGATGTCTCTTCATGGTCATCCCCCAGGGTGTGTTGTGCTCATCATTGGGCACTGGCAGTTCCAGGGGGAACATGGGCTGTGACATCACAGCTCTGGGAGCTGTGGGATCATGTGAGTTCTGGGGCCACTCCACAGTGGGGATGGAGACCATACAATGATGGAATCCTGGAATGGTTTTGCTTAGCAGGGACCCTAAAGATCATCTCATTCCAGCCTGAGCAACCTTCCACCAGACCAGGCTGCTCAGAGTCCCATCCAGCCTTTCCTTCAGTGTTCCCAGGGATGGGGCATGTACAGCCCCTGTGCACAGCCTGTGCTAGGACCTCTCCACCCTCACTGGAAAGAAACATCTTCCTTAGATCTCACCTAAATGGATCCCCTCCAGTTTCAAAGCCATTCCCCTTCTCCTCTCTCCACAGGCCCTGCTGAACACTGTCCCATCTTTCTTCTGGGCCCCTTCAGGTCCTGCCTGGCCGCACTGAGGCCTACCCAGGGCCTCCTCTTCTCCAGGCTGAGCAACCCCAACTCTCTCAGCCTTTCCTCAGAGCAGAGGTGCTCCAACCCTCTGATTGTCCTTGTGGCCTCCTCTGGATGGGGCCAACATGCTGGGAACAGAGCTGGGATGCACCTGCATCACCAGTGTGATCCAGGCTGCACCCGCTGGTGCCAAGCAGGGGCTGTGGCCACGCCCCAGGGGCTCCCTGGTGCATCCATCGGTGCTTCCCAGCCTCTGCCTGCTGGGACACCTGGAGCTGTGCCCATGCACAGGGAGCACTGGCCCCCATGGGGCTAGGAGTGACACAGTGACCCTGGTGTGCACATGGATCTGGCCAAAGCCAGGACCAGCAGAGACCTTCCAAGCCCTCCCTATGGCACTGGTCCCCTCTGCCCTGCTGCCCGCAGTGCTGGGGATGAGCCCAGGACATGGGAGATGTCTGGGCTGAGGGTGCACATGGCTGGGACAGATGTGAGGCTGATATCCAGCTGTTGTTCTCTTGGCTGCACACAAACATCACACCCCCCTCTCCTCACCAGCCAGTGATGGTTTCAAATACTCCTAACATCAACCATGGAGGCTGCTCAACATCCATTGTTGGGGGCTGGCCTTGGAAACTGCCAAAGCATGGGAGCTCTGTGATTCCCAAAGGAAAGGAGAGAGGAAAAAATGACCAGGAGCAGTGCAGGAAGCCAGAATGACAGAGGTGAAAAGCTGGTGATCCTGGGTGCATGTGAAGTGTTTGTGGGTTTAGTAGGCCCTTGGTATCTCTTGCAGTCTTGTGGGGATGTTTGTGGTGGGGCAAGTCCAGAGGAACATTTTTGATCAGCAATGTGTAGAACATGAGCTTTGGAAAAAGGAAAGGTTCACAGAATCACGAATCACAGAATCACAGACTGTGCTGAGTTGGAAGGGACCCCACAAGGATCATTAAGTCAAACTCCTGGCCCTGCACAGGACCATTCCCAGGAGTCAGACCATGTGCCCAAAAGTATCATCCAAATGCTTCTTCAGCTCTGGCAAGCCTTGAGGCCATGACCTGGGGAGCCTGTTCAGTGCCCAGCCTAACCCTCCTCTGACACAATTTTAGGCCATTCCCTCAGGTCCTGTCACTGGTCACCACAGAGAACAGACAGTGCCTGCCCCTCCTCTTCCCCTCACAAGGAAGTTGTAACTGCAATGAAGTCTCCCCTCAGTCTCCTGTTCTCCAGCTGAACACACCAAGTGCCCTCCTCATACAGCTTCCCCTCCTCATACAACCACTCCTCATACAGCTTCCCCTCAAGGCCCTTCCCCATCTTTGTTACCCTCCTTCAGACACTCTCTAATGGCTTACAGTCTTCTTTATATTGTGGTGCCCCAAAATTGCCCCAATATTGAGGTGAGGCCGCCCCAGGTCAGAGCAGAGCAGGACAGTCCCCTCCCTGGCCTGGCTGGCAATGCTGGGCCTGATGCCCCCCAGCACAGGGTTGGCCCTCCTGGCTGCCAGGGCACTGCTGATTCATGGCCAACTGGCCACCCACCAGGACCCCCAGGTCCCTTTCCTGGCACTGCTTTCCAGCATCTCATTCCCAGTCTGTCCATATATTCAAGGTTGCCCCATCTCAGGGGCAGAATCTGGCACTTCCCCTTGTTGAACTTCCTATGGTTGGTGATTCCCAGCCCTCTGATTTATTGAGGTCTCTCTGCAGGGCCTCCCTACCTATGAGGGAGTCAACAGATCCTCTCAGTTTTGGATCATCTGCAAACTTGCTCATTGTCCCTTCCAGTCATTGATGAAGATGTTGAAGAGCACAGGGCCTAAGATGGAGCCCTGTGGAACCCCTCTAGTTACAGGAGGCCAGTCTGATGTCACCCCAGTCACCCTTTGTGCCCAACCCATAAGCCAATTGCTCACCCACCCCATGATGTGTTTACCAGCTGTGGGCTGGACAGTTTGTCCAGAAGGATCCTGGGAGAGACATTATCAAAAGCTTTACTGAAATACAAAAACCCCAAAGAGTTATGGCATTTCTTAGAGATTTAGCAGCAGAAGCCTGGAGAGAGTGTACTGGCATAGATTTTGTGAGCGTGGGATGGTGGTGCTCCATCTGTTCAATTAATAGTGAGTGAAAATGATTTATGGACTCCCATAGACACTGATCACAAAATCCAGCAGGGCTATGCTCAACTATGGGACATAAAAGGCCCTGATGGGCAGGAAATCGTGTCCCTCCCCACTGTGTCAATGGATATGTGCCATGGTGTTAACAGCACATGCAGATCCTGCTGTAAGAGTATATAAGCCAGCAAAGCTGAAGAAAGTCACCTCATGGGTGACGAGGAAAATAATGTCTGTTGCCCTTCTCTCTGCCCACACAGATGCTCCCACCTGTGCATCCAGGTGAGCATCAGTGTGGGCACAGAGAAGAGCCCACCCGGAGCTGGATCATGGGGTTTATGGACACACAGGTTCCTTTTGACACAGGGGAATGGAGATGTCTTCACTCGAGGTGCTCACGTGTCCATGTGCAATACAGGGAATAGATTTGATATGGATTTATCCATCAGACATTGTTGATACTTGTGCAAGTCACAGAGATCTTTTTGGTTCAAGGCATCCAGAACACACTTCTAATGGGTGTGGGAAGGGCTGGGCCTGGTGGAAGGGCTGGGTGTGGACATTTTGGCATGGCCAGGGCTTTTGGTGAGGTGTTGCCCTGCCAAGCCAAGTGCTGGCAATTCCCTACCAGAAGTGATGCAGACAAGCCCAGGGGGTGGCACAGGGCAGGTTCCTGGGGACAGGGACAAAGCCTGTCCCTGGGAGCTGCAGGGAATGTCTGTAAACCCCCTGAGCTGTAGGGGGTGGAAGTGGGGTTGGGAAGGGAAGGGGGAAGAACACGGTGAGAGGAGGAGCTGGAGGAGCAGCTCCAAGGCTCCCAAGCTCCCAGCGCTTGCCCAGTTCAGCAGAGCCCAGCAAGCCCAGCCTGGACCCCCCAGTCCCATTTTCCCAGCTCAGGAGCTCTGTCAGAGAGAACAGGCTGGGCTGGGTGACTCTCCCTGGGCACTGGCCGTGCTGGAGTGCTCCCTGGGCTGGCTGCGGGAGGGCCTCACCAGGGCATAGGTTGTGTTGCTGTTCAGCTCTTGCACACGAGGCTTTAGAGAGAAAAAGGAAAGCCCGTTATTTCCCCTGCTGGCTGCAAGTCCTGCGCAAGCCTCTGGTCCTGGGCTACAGGAGAGCTGCAGGGAGCTGGGCCCTTTGCCTTCAGTTTTGGTTTGATTATTTTCCCCAGTTTAAACCCCTAAATTTTACATGTGACATTCCATCATGAAGTATTTTTTCCAGGGAAAATATTTACAGATGATACCAAGAAAATAAAATATTTTCCTTGGATGAAAATCTATCTCATAAATATCTCTATCTACAAGTGCTTCCCTTCAGTTCTTGGTGGAAATGGCCCTGTGGGACTCCCCAGCCCAAGCCACTGGCACAGACCCTGAAACCCATGCCCAGGCCCTGCTCCCTGGTTTGGCATCAAGGCTGTGCCACAACTCACCCCATTCCGTCCAACATGGGCGATGGTGGAGTCTGCGGGGGGGGGGGCAAAAAGCACAGAGTGAACCCTTGCTTCTCATTCTGAGAGGGACAAGCCCCCTTTGAACAGCAGGTCCCTGGGGTCAGCACTGAATTCGCTTCCCTGTTTGCCCCTAATCTCACCCCACTCCTGGCAGCAGAGGAAGCTGCCCTTCCATCTGTGAATGCAGAGCAGGGATGGGGATCTGTTGTCACCTTTCCTGTGCAGTCTGTGTGTGCAGGGAAGAAGCTGGGGAGCAACAGCATGGGGAGAAATCTGCCCTTGTTCAATGGGAATTGTTTTGCAAATCCCACTTGGACAGAAATTGCTAGGATTGCATGTGGAATTGGGAAAGGCCCTGCAATGAGAGGAGGGGATGGAGAGGATGGAAAGGGGGTTTGTGGCGGGTCCTGTAACTCGGTGCAGCTCCTGAGGCTGCGGCACAGCCGGTCAATGGTCTCTGGGTTGCTGGTGATGCCAGAGGCAGCCAGGACACAAGAGGGGGTCAACCACAATGGGGAGCTGGTATTTCGTTGTCATCAATCTCTTCAGCCTCGTGGCTGGGAACTTGCTGCTGTCTGGAGAGAGTTGGGGGAAAGGGTTTCGGAGTCTGTCCAGACTCTGATGAGCCCTTTGGAGTCATTGCCATGGATGATTCTGTCTTGCATCGGGTCCATGGCTGGAGCCAAGGCCAGGGCAAGCCCTGCTCCTCTCTGCCTGCACCATGGGGGAATCCACCCACGAGCACAGACCAGACTGCCTCTGCCCAAGGACCACTCCAGGGGGCCTAGGATACCCCGTCTCCATCAACCCCCAGCCCCCAGCCCACAGGGATTGCTGCTCACCTTTGGCATCTCTCTCTGCAGGCTCCTGCAAGGAAAAGAAAGGGAGAGGTGGGAGGCAGAGTTCCTGCACAGCCCTGACTTTCCATGCTCTGGGCTGTGCAGTGAAGGTGATGGGCTGAACCTCCACATCTCACTCAGAGAGGGATTTTTCAAGCCCAGCCTATAAAACAGTGAATCCCCTTTCCCAGCCTGGCCTCTCCCAGGCTCTCAGCAGCTGTGCACAGGATGGGAGCCAATGTGTGCCTGGTGCAGGGCACCTCTTTGGTAAAGTCTTTATCATCTCAGCAGATTTACTTCCCTCATTTGACAAATGAAAGGCCTGAGAGGCTCAGCTTCATGTGAAATGGGATAAGGATCCAGCCATTCTAAACTAGCATGGGTCAGAGAGCAGCAGCCCTGCATTAAGTGCAATTTTGGCCTCAGATTTTCCCCTTGACATCCCCAAATCACTCACCTTTCCTCACAAAACAGTAGGTGGCTGCAGCCAGGAGGAAAAGAGAGATGGTCACTAATCCTATCATAATGTCTTGGGAAAAGGTCTGAAAGCCCAGGGGATTGGTATCTGGGGGCAGAGAAGCTGTTGGGGAAGATGGGGAATTATGGGGAGTGGAAGCAGAGAGCAGAATACACCCTTAGAGCCAAGCGAGGTCCTGGCTGATGAATGTCCTGCGGCTGGCAGCTGGGCAGCCTTGGCCCAATGCTGAGGAACATTGGGTGTGAGGGAGGGAATCACGCACCATTGGTGGCTGTCCCTGCCTGGGAGTTGGACCCACTACCTGGGAGGAGAAAGGCACAGGCTGAGAATCTGCAGCTCCCCCAAGTACTGCACAGATTCAGCCACCATGGGGATCCCCTGATCCACCATCTATCAGCTGTGGGGATCAATAAATGAATGCCCTGCACAGCTATGGCTCTGCATTAGATCTGGCACCACCACTCTCCCCTTTCCATGATGCTGGGGCAGGAGAGGAGCAGGATTCTCTCCTGGGACTGGGAAGAGTGTCCCTGGTGGCAAGGGCTGGGCTGAAATGCACACTGACCCCCAGCATCCCAACTGCCTGGGGATATGCCATGAGGTGGGGCAGGGCAGGTTCCCCTCCCTCACCTGGGCTCTGAGGGGCCTGGGAGTGTTTCCTGTCCATCCCCAACTCCCAGGACTCACCTGTGACTCTCAGGTTCTGGGGAGCACTGAGGGCAGAGTTCCTCACTCGGTTGCTGTTGTCCTTGTGCTGGTAGCCACATGTGTATGTCCCCGTGCTCCGCCTCATCGTGGTGAAGAGCATGTAGTAGCTCCCCTTCTTCTGTTGGGCTTTCAGGCTGTGAAACTCCACCCCATCCTTGCAGAAGACAATTCGGGTGACAGGAGACTTCATGACTGTTTGGCACCGAAACAAAATCTGTTCTCCCTCCTGTGCTGCATCCAAAGTGACATTGGTTTTCATATGGAGGGACAGAGCTGGAAGGTCACCTGCAGAGACGGCAAAGGGATGGCCCAGGACAGTATAACTCTTGTCAGGGCTCGAAAAAGACTCTGTTCTGGAAGGGAAAGAGTTTCCCCTCCAGGGGTTCATACTTGGGGACCCCTTCCCATCTCCAGCCCCACACAAAACCTTTCACAAGACCTATCCCTGTACTCATCATCCCCTGGGGAGCTGCAGATGTCCTGGGCCATCACACCAGCACCTGCATCGTGGGGCACAGAGAGTTTTGGTCAGAGGGGCAGCAACCCAACTCAGCCCGTGCACCCCGTCCACGTTCCCACTGCTGAGCCTGTGCTGGGCAGGAACCATTCAACCCATGGGGCTCCATCCTGAGTGCCTTGTCTCCAGGCTTGACACTTCCCCAAGCTTGTTTTCATTGGGTTTGTGGTTCCAGGTGGATGCTTCTGGTATAGTCTCACACTATAAACAACATAGAGAATGGCCTAGAGAATGGTCTTAGATGGGGTTTGCTGGGCAGTCACACACTCCTAAGGGCTTTGGGGAGGGTTCAGCAATGCAACCTCAAGCCCCTGCGCTCTGGTGGTGCTTGAAGGGGGGAGGGGGGGGTCCCTCTCTCAGGGAGGGGTTTGGAGGATGGTTGCAACTTGAGGTTGAGCTGGGCAGGTGGAACCTGGAGACCTGAAGGCACCTGAAATGCAATTTGTTGTCCTCTGGCTCCATCCCTCTCTCCAGAGAATGCTCTTGGTGCCATCAATCATTGCCCAAACTGGCAGGGGGATGTGTTGTGTAGCGTGACTGTTTCCCTGTCAGGGATCTAGGATTCATACAGGGGGGTGAAGCTGCTTTGGGACAGTTTAGGGGAGGTGATCTGAAAGCTCCAGTCCTGAGCTCCCCACCATCCTGTTTTGGGTGCCCTGTGAGTCTGGAGAAAGGTGAGGGCATTGGACACAGAGATGCAGGAGGAAGGTGGGAATTGTGGACTGGAGGGCTGCTGAGCAGGGCAGGACAGGGCCCACCCCGGGCACAGGGCAGAACCCAGGGAAAGGGTGTGTGGAGCAGCCGTGCAGCAATGAGGGGCAGAGCTGCTTTGGGGAGGGCAGGAGGACGATTGCTTCCTGCAGCTCCCTTGGACCTCTAAGCAATGGGGGTGATTTTCAACCCCTCTAAGGGGGTTTGAGTCATAGAGTGAGACCTGGCAGATGCTGAAGTGCTTTAAGGAGCCAGAGGCATCCACCTGGAATCAGAAACCCACCCAAAATTGGCTCTGATGTGACAAAGATTCCTCCATGGCTAAGACCCAAAATGCTCCTGCTGTGCAATGCCTTGAACTTGAGGTGCATGTTGGGGGCTGCTGATGCTGAAACCCAAGACCCTCAACTGCCCCAGAGCAAACCTTTCCCTATCCTCCCAACAGACCAGAACATGCCAGGGGGCAGCTCCCTCACCTGGGCTCTGTGGGGCCTGGGAGTGTTTCCTTGGAGTGTGCCCCATTGCCATGACTCACTTGCGAAGCTCAGGTTCTTAGAAGCACTGAGGGGAGAGTTCCTCACTCGACTGCTGTTGTTCTTGTGCTGGTATCCACATGCGTATGTCCCTGTGCTCCCCCTCGTCATGGGGAAGAGCATGTAGTAACTGCCCTTTCGATGCTGAGCTCTCAGGCTGTGCACCTCCACCCCATCCTTGCAGAAGATGATTCAGGTGGCAGGAGACTTCTGATCAATTACGCACCAAAACAAAACCTGTCCATCATCCTGTGCAGCAGTGGGGATCAAAGAGAGATCAGGAGCTGGGAGGTCACCTGGAGAGATGGAACAGTAATGGCCCAAGAATTTGTTACTGTTGTAAGGGCTGGGAACTACCTCAGCTCCGGGAGGGGTGAATTTCCTCTCCAGGGATTCACACAGGGAACAAAGCCCTTTCTGGTTTCCATCTCCAGCCCCAAACAACTCCCTTTACAGGATGTGTCCCTGTACTCACCAACCACTGGGGAGCTGCAGATGTCCTGGGCCATCACATCACATCGGCACCTGCACCATGGGGCACAGAGGGTTTTGGGCAGAGGGGCAGCAACCCAGCTCGACCCGGTGCCCCTGTCCACGTTCCCACTGCTAAGCCTATGCTGGGCCAGAACCTTCCCAGTCACGTGGCTCCATTCTGCGGGTCCTTTGTCTCCTGTTTGACACTTCACCGAACCCATTTTGGTTGGTTTTGTGGTTCCAGGTGGATGCCTCTGGCTCCCTGAAGCACTTAAGCATCTGCCAAGTCTCATGCCATGAACCAGATTCCCTCTGAGGGGCTGGAAACCGCCCCCATTGCTCAGAGGTCCATGGGAGCTGCGGGAAGCAACTGTCCTCCTGCCCTCCCTAAAGCAGCTCTTTCCCCTGTGCTCCACACACCCTTTCCCATGTGTCCTACCCTGTGCCCGGGTCAGGCCCTGTCCTGCCCTGCTCAGCAACCCTCCAGTGCTGAGCCCCAAGGCAAAGCCAGCCCCCAACTCACTCAGCACCAGCGGCAGCAGCAGGAGGAGGAGGAGGAGGAGGAAGGCCGGGTGAGCAGGACACAGCCTGGCACATCCCAGCTGCCCCAGCATTGTTTGGGCACTGCAGAAACAGTCTCTCCTGGAAGTGTCTGCTGTGGGCTGAGCTCTGTACAGTGCTTCAAGAGCTGCCTGGCCCGTGCCTTGCAGAGCAGCCTGTCTGTGGCTGGCAGGGCCTTTCCCACGAGGAGGGGCTGTGGCAAGCGGGGGCCCTTCCTCAGCCCCCACTGCAGCCACTGTGCCTGCAGAGCCCCCGCTTTCATTTCTGGACACTGTGAGTCCGGAGCACGAGTCGTGTTTGCCTGTCCCTCTGGGGCAGCATCCTCCCTGCAAAGCCCTCCTGCCCCTTGACCCCCACCCTGCTCTGCCCTGCTCTCACTGCTCCTCCCAGCTCTTCTGCCACATGGAGCCAAGGGATTCTCCAAGGAGAAACTGACCATGGGCACAAGTGGTTCCAGAGCTTTTGGGATGGTAGCCAAGGCCATGGGGGTTCCAGTGGTTCTTTCCCCAGGAAGTGCCGACAATACTCCATTGTGAAGGAACCCCCCCCAAGGCCTTTCTGGGCAGTCCGTGTGCTGAGGAGTTTCTTGTAAGGGCCTGTCCACTAGTACTGCCCCTGTGGGGAATAAAGAGGATGAGATGGACATCTTGGTATGGTTTTAGGGCTGTGACCTTGTTGGGATCAGGGAGATATGGTGGATTGTTCCCATGGCTGCTGTTGCAATGCAGCCACAGGACTATCCAGGAGGTACTGGCTGAGAAGATGAGGAGTAGGAGTTGCCTGTTATGTGAGAGAGCAGCTGGAGCCCATGATGCTCCCCTGGGGATGTGTGGAACTGCAGGTCATGTGCACGTGTGTCTCAAATGGGACATGAGACTCCAAGTCTGCAGCACCACCCTGGGGTAGTTGCAGTGGGAGAAGAGGGTCAGGTTTGGTGCAGCCTGTGCACATCCGTGCAGCACAAAACAGACACAGTTCAGAGCACAGCTGCAAGTGAGTTATTGCAGAACAGATGAAAAGAGAGCAAAGGTGGGATGTGAAAAAGCTGCAGTGTTCAAAACAACTGCCACCAAAACCTGAAAGAACTTGGGGGAGCTTTCATCAGAAATAGCCTTGACTTTTTACACCTTCAGCCAGTGTAGAGATGTCCCAACTGATAACTAATCTTATACGTTTGTTTTGGAGCACATCTGCATGTGTTGCTCTATTTCACGTCCTTTATCTCAAGGCAAAATAGCTGTTTATTATTTGCCTGAGTTTAGGGGTCAGGAATATTCACCGTTAGTAATTGTTGCTGAGATTTTTAACAACTAAATCAATACTAGAACAAACATTACTAACCTGTCTATGAGACATTTCAACGTGGAGGAGCAAATCCCATTTTGCATCCTGAGTTAACTAATCACTTTATTGTTCTTTCTCGAGGTGTCTCTCATCCCCTTGCACTAAGTTACCCAATTGATTGCAAATCTTAGTTTCCAAATTTGAGCACTATCTGGACCCATCTCATTTGTTTAACTTTATACTACTCTATTTTGGGGTCTCGGTTTGTGGAAGTACAACTGGGACTTGGTTTCAAGTCTCATCATCTTGGCAAACCTTATGGTCTGACACTGATTATGGTCATAGTGCAATGGCTCCTCATTTTGATTTACATTCTCCCCTTTACCCTGAGTTTCCTCACCTTGTTCCAATATTTGATCCCCCTCATGGTAAAAAGCACCAAAAGAAAATTTTCCGCACATTGAATCAGAATTTCTCATGTTGCAGCTTGTGCCTGTTGCCTCTTACCTGATCAAGGTACATCTCCAAGTGATGTCATATGGAGAGGGAAATGTAGCAAGGACAGTGAGCCCCAGACTGGTCCCTGAGTCTTACAGACACTGTTACCTGGGCAGGTGGTGGAGTCTCCGTCCTTGGAGATATTCAAAACCTCTGGATGAGGTTCTGGCCAAGTGGTTCCAGGTGTCCCTGTTTGAGAAGGGGGGTTGGACCAGATGATCTCTCCAGGTCCCTTCCAACCTCAACTACTTGGTGTCTCTGTGATTCTGTACAGGGTATGAGAGACTCAAAACCACAGATTTCAGAATCTATGAGGTCCAAGGTAGCTGGATCTGTGCCCGTTTCCTGTGTGTTAAATTTTCACTTCCCCTTGGCCATTTGATCATTTGCACATGTGGTGATAGGAAGCATGTAAGAAGACGAGTGGTGTGATCCAAAGGCACAGAATCCTTCCGTGTTGGTGAAGTATTGACCAACAAACAAAATTGAAGTCAAGAAACAATTCAAAAGTGTCTGGAAAAATCATTATAGTGTGTTCTCTGTATCACTTTATTCCCTAATTCTGGTGGTGGTTGAAGAAATAATGGAGCTGGAATTTTGATGTCCTAAGGAGAAGTCATGAAAGGAATTGTATATTGCTTCCTGCTTTTTGTGTCCAGCCTTCATTATAATTTCCCTGAGCTTGACCTCCCACCCCCCTGTATTCCCTGGGCTCACTGTGTTCTGGCTCGTGCTGCCAGAAGACTCAGATAATTTTTAGGGCATTTCTCCCTCCTGTGACTTGGTGCCTGATCCTCCCATGCCAGGGCAGATCCATTGAGTGCCTGGTTTAACAAATGACGTGAACAGCAGCCAAAGTGCAACCCAGAGCAGAGCAGCTGAATTACCTAATAAATTCTTCCCAAAATCTCAGGGAACAGTCCTGGGAATCTTGGACTGTAAGTGTTTTCACAGCTTGTGTGTGTGAAGAATCTGGGATGTACAGCACTATGGGAACCATTTCTTGTAGAGAAAAAAGTGTTAAGTTGCAATTATGATTTTTATGTGATATGTTTAATAAATTTGCATTTCCTGGTTCTTTTTTTCCCTGTTTCTGTTTTTAATCAATGTATATCAGTACAAGTTTACTCTTTGAATATTCCTTCTAAAACTGAAACCTGAACTGTGAATTTCTCCAGGGTTACTCTGCAAATTTACACCTGTGTTTTGTGTCTGGTTCTTAAAGAGTCTTTTAGGAAAATAGGAAATAAGGGAGAGGGAGAGAGACAGATGTTGTTATTCCTTGTTCCAGTGAGTCTGTATCTTGTCCTCTGACCATAGCAGGAGCAAGGGATGTATTTCATAAGAAGAACTATGAGGCTTAATAATATGCAAGGATTTTAAATTTTAAAAAAAGATGCTAAACATCTTTAGGATGTAAAGTCTGGTGAGAATTGGATTTAATATTCTCTCTTCCAGGTGTCAGGGCTGTTCACTCTCCCTGATGTCCTCATTTTCTGTGGCCTGTGCCACATGTTCCCCTGCTGGTTCTGCTGGAAGGATGAAGAAGGACATGGGAGAGAGGAGGTGCAGAGCCTGTGAGAGGAAGGAGCCAGGAACCATCTTGAAGAATTGAAGAAAGAGGGGGCAGAGCAGAGAATGGAACAGAAAGTGAAACCTTCTCTGCAGTGTGTTAATGCCAGTTTCTGGAAAAACATAGGTCTAAGGAACACAGTAAAAAAACCATAGGCAGTTGTAGAGTCTGCTGTTAGGGACCTGTGGGCAAAGAGACAACCAGCAGTGGAACAGAGTGTGCCTCTCTCCTCCTGCAGGGACCACAGCACAACCAGCTCCAGAAATCCCCTCTGTGCTCTGAGGGGGTGGCAGCAACTGTGGCTCAAAGGGCCAGAGCAGGTGCCGATGTGGCAAACCCAGAATGCTTGATCTGCCCCTTCTGGGCTTGCTGGGGAAAGTTCCCCCTCTCCTCCCACCTCAGCCCTCCTGGCCCCCGAAGCAGGTCTGGCTCTTGAGATGTCAGAAGAGTCAGTTGGGTTTATCATCCTGCTCTAGCTGCTGCTGACAAGCCAGCAGGGACCACCAGACAGCACCTGTCATCTTCTTATCCCTCTTACTATATTTGGCCCTCATTTTCTTGCTCTTTTATCTCTGAGGAAGTGGCTGAAGAGGGAATAACTCATACAAACCATGAGGAGAAAACTGAGAGCCAACCAGAAATGATGTGAAGATGGAGATCTCAGGCCTGGATCAAGAGTCCACTGGAGAGATAAGCAGAGCAGAGGATTCCCAGCAGCATTTCCAGATGTCCGGGACCGTGGAAGTGCTCTCCTTGGAGCTGTCTGAGATGAGATCCCATGGGCTCTGGGATTTCTCCCCTTTCACTTGTCCCCTCGGTGATGTGAGCAGCTATATTGACCAGGGCTGAAGACCTCCTGCAACTTGTCTTGGATGGGGACACGTAGAAGGAAGCAGGAGCTGGAGGTGCGGAGAGGGAACTCAGAGGTCACAGGCAGGTTTAGAGGTGAGATTCACACCAGAGCTGGTGGCAGCTGAATGGCAGGGTACTTGGTTGGATCCATTTGGCATGGAGATATTTTGGGTAATGCATCATTTCTGAAAATAAAGTAATTTTGCAGGCTGTCCCTTGCACAAACAGCTCACCTG